GGAGCAAAGATCCAAAGTGGCCCACAGCAGACAAAAGTAACTATAATTGTCAGCAACAGTGTTGAGGATATGACAGACTGGTTGGTGTAGAAGCACCAGAGTCAAAAATGGCAGGATAAGGTGTATTAGAATAGCAGGTGTTGATGATACCGAGATTAATGGGTCACGAAGATCTTAGTGCCCATCTACCTGCAGCTTCTCAGACACCAGGTTGGGAGATACAGGACAAAAAGTAAATCATGATGTGTGACAGAACAGCAAGACAGATCACTGTCAGCTCCTAGCAAGGACAAAAAGGAACATTTGGAAAAAAACCTAGCACATTTTTGCTAACGTACAAAAACCCAGAGGACATGAGGAGGACTCAGCAGCTGGCATCCCCTGCATTATTTCAGGGAATCCTGGAAAGATTGGGTACATGCATCTTGGTCCTTGCATGCTGGATGGACTCCTTGCACATACTCAGGCTTGTGAGAATGTGTGTACGGGAGGGTAAGTGAAATCAGTTTGGATTTAGTTTTGTTTTAAAGTAAAAGACTCATTTCCTAGGAGGTCTCACGTTGCTGCCACAATGTCACAGCGTTATTTCCTACAAAGTGAGCTGGGATGACACACTGTCTGACAAATGCTGCATATAGTGAGGAGGAGGCAGGTCAGAACTTGCAATCTTTCTGCATTAACAAGGAACATCCTTGGCATAACAGGCGCATCCCAGCTGAGCTCTGTGCACAAACCCACAGCACCTTCTTTGCACACGTAACAGTCAGTTTGACGAACAGGCAAGGAAAAAGCATAAACAGGATGAAGACCAATAAATGAGAGAAAGCTGGTGATTTATAAGAATGCAGACCCTTAGATACAGGCCATCCAGGTACAAGTCTCCAAATGAACCAAGTGCTGACTCTTCTGAAGGGAAGATTTTTCACAAAAGCTGAGTTAGGCCAGACAAATCCCTGGAGCAGAGGACACAGGCCAGTGGGAAATGAGACAGACAGAAAAGATGACAGCAGAGAAGATGGGGAAAGAGAAAAATCCTCTGGAGAGCTTCTTCCCTGTCACCTGGAATGACTGAGGTCTCCTCAAGAGAAGGAGCTCTCTACTTTGCAGGAAGGAGGCTGTAAGAGATTGTAAGTGGAAGCAAGTGATGCCAAGTGACTGCCTCATGAATCTCATGTTGAGAGAAGAGCAGTGGGAGATCACTTCACCATCAGCACAGAACAGGAAGACACTGTCTCCTGAATTAATAACCTGAATCAACTGTTCTGCTTCTGGCAGCCACAGGAAGATGCAAAATCCAGATATAGCTTGCATTTTCTGGATGTTCTTATTTCAGACAAAATTCAAAATCAAAGCAGGCAGGACAGGACATATGCAGAACTATGTGAACACTGCATGTGTGACTTACCTCCCCCCACATTAAGTGCACTAAAAAAGGCACAGAGCAAATATTCAGTGTACACCATGAAGTAAGACATGAGAGTTAGACATAGAGTTCCTTTCCAGATAAGATCAGAGCCCAAAAAAGAAGAAAGAATTGACTATGCCTTCCATGGGAAACTCACCCAGTTTTTGTGTCTCATTGGAAAAAGCAAAACTCATGTCATTGAGCTGTTCATCAGAGCCATAGTTCAACTCTGTTTCTACTCCAGTTATCCCTATCCCAGCTAACTTCCTCCATCCAGCTGCTTTCCCAGCACATTAGACCTAGCAACTGTGCAATTAAAAAAATCACAGGATGATTTAGGGTGGAAAGAGCCTCTGGAGCCTTTAGTCCAAGTCCCTGCTGAAAGCATGTCCATTAGATCCAGCTGCTCAGGGCCGAGTCCAGTGGAGATTTGAATACCTCCAAGGACAGAGATCCCACAGCCTCACTGGGCCCCTCTTCCACTGTTTGACCACTTTTTTGCTTAGCTCGGTCCAGAATTTCTGATGTTGCAAATTTTGTCTTATCCTACCCCTGTTCAGCTCTAAGAGTCTGGCTCTGTTATCTGTATCCTTCCATTAGGTAGCTGTGGTCAGCAAGATCTTCACCTTCTCTTCTATAGGATAAGGAGGTGAAGTGCTCTCTGCCTTACCTTGTACATCTTGTGTTCCAGCCCCCTGACACCTCCTCACTGTCCCCCATGCCCTTACAGTTCTTCAAATTACGACAAGCCTTCTCCAGTGTGTCAGGTTTGAAGAGCTCCTTGCAAGGTTATCCTGTTGGCAGAACCACTCTTGTCCCATTTGACCAGGTGGATCCCATTCCTCTCAGCAGCCCTTGTTCCTCAAAGAGGGCCCTGTGATTAGAGAAGCCAAAGCACTTCATGTGACACCAGCCTCACAGGCAGGTGTTCCTTCCTCCTATTTCTTTCTCCTTCACCAGCGGGGCAAAGAACACCAACTGGGCCCTCATGCCTTCCACCCTCAGCTTCCAGAGCCCTACTGTCAATCTGATGTGCACTGTCACACTAATGTGCACAAGGCTGCCTCTAGCAGTATCCTCTTATAGGCCTTCTGGACATGTGAACCTGGAACCTCCCATAAAGACGTACGTGAATCTCTTCAGCTTCCTGTTACTTCTCAAGCACACTACATTTCTGTCTACAGCACCCAGCTTCAAGCACTGTTTCATAGGTGGGCAATAGATAGAACTTGTATACAGCTGATGTACATCCACTGAACCCCCAAGCCATCAACCAAACCCCCAGATCCCTTTCTGCTGGGTTGCACCCCAGCCTCTTGTCCCCCAGTCTATATGTACACCCAGGATTACACTGTCCCAGCAGCACAATCCAGCATTTGTCCTTGTTAAATTTCACACGGTTGGTGATTTCCCAGCACTCAGATCTGCCAAGATCTCTCCCTAAGGCCTCTCTACTCTTGAGGGACTCAACATCTCTTCCTAATTTAGGAACATCAGCAAGCTTTCTTAGCATGTGCTCAACTCCTGTGTCCAGATCGTTGACAAAAACATTCAAGAGAACTGGCCCTAAAATTGAGCCCTGAAGAACACCACTAGTGACTGACCACCAACCTGATGTTACCCCGTTGACTACAACTCTCTGAGCCCGACCCTCCAGCCAGTTGTTCACCCAAGGAAGCAGAGGACAGAGCCATACCAGTCCTGAGCTGCAGTCACTACTATAGCACTGCCCTTGTGTGTAGATACCAGCAGTGAGTATCCCCAAGAGTTAAAACAGGCCAACATGCATCTGAGCAGATATATTGTAGATTACTCTTTCAAGTTTGGGCTGAAACGTTTATGAATTAGAAGTCGTCAGTTAGGGGTCTCTGCTGTCTTAGTTTATAGGTCAGGTTTACATAATCTAATTCTTTCCAACTCAAACCATTTCATCATTCTCCTGTACTAGAAACTTCTGTTTGCGAGAAAATGAGACAAAAATCCCTTCTTAATCCTGCTGTATCGCAGAACACCACTCTTGCTGTCTCTCACTCGTATTTCTTTTTGGAAGAGTGTGCCGGTTGCCCTGATACCAAATTGACTAATTTGAGTGAGATAAACAGCTGTTTGCTGTTGATAGATGCAATATTACACATACAGTCACTGTGAGAAATTAAGAGGTTTATTTATTACTATTTCCATAGTATTGTTTAAAAACTCCAAAGGTCAGATATGGTGGCAACAACGAATAGCACGTATTAATTAGGTACAATTATAAGGACAAGTTCCCAGACAAAATGTGCGCAGGGATCAACCTGGTCACTAAGAGGACACTCAAATATTTGATAAAAGTGAGACTGCGTATCTGGTTTGATAAGCTTAACTATAGGCATTATCACACATATGTTCTTACAGTGAGGAGAGAATGTATTAATATAAGTGAAGCCTGTAGCAGTCTCTATGGTTACAGCTGACATTTTCTAATATAAGCCATTGTCTTCATATGCTTGACTTTCTATGTTTCAACTGCTTAGGCTGAACTTCTCCATCACTGCTCATTGTTTCCAGGTGAATTCTCTAGCAATCAAGTTAGCAAATGTACTGAAGAATTCTAGCGGATTCTCATGCTGAAACAGCAATTGGAAATTTGGCAGGGACTCAATAGTATCATCTGTTACCATCCTCTCAAATTTACCCCATGGCTTGGTGACTTTAAAAGACTCAGCAGATCCTGCTAGAGGTTTTGTGCTGAAATTTCCAAATGTGACATCTACAGTGGATGAAGCAGTCTCGGCTGGCCGCTACCGAACGCTGCCAGCCCCACTTATCTGTGCACAACCCCAAAGTCCTGCAGAACATGCGGTTCAAACAGGGCACATCAACTCTGCCCTTCCTCTGAGGGATTGCACCTAGGGATTGAGAAAACAGAAGGCAATCCAAATTTTGTATCTGCAGCTCTTCAGCTGAGTGGGTTATAAATAACTGGCTCCACCCCACCAGTATGCTGGCAGTTTTTGTATTAGTCCCAACGGCAGAGCCCTGGGCGGTGGATTCAAACACCCCAAGTCATTCTGCAGGACACCAGCTTCTGTGGAACAGTTTCTACTAACAGGCTGCAACACGATGCTATGATAAGCATTTGAAAACCTGGACTGAAAACCGTTTCTTTGACCAGTCTTGTGAAAAAGAGGTATCCAAGCCTGTTCATCTCCCAGCAGCCCACATACTGTAAGATATTATGTGCCATCCCCACCATGTATGCTAGATTCTGCTCACCTAACCATGACACAGGGAGGGAAAATAGGTTCTGTGTCCTGTGCTTTGGGTCAGAGGAGCCAAGAGGTTATAGATTCACCCAAAGAGGTTCTTTAGCCAAGCTGGGTTCTTAGGCAACAGCTTGGTTTTGTTGCAGTATCTTTATCACCCTGCCACTCTTCACATCTTCATTCACCACTTTTTGTTTTTCAGAATTTGGGCAGTGGTTTGCTAAATTTAAACTTTCTCAATACACAATTACTCCTAGATATTCCTGATTTCCTAATTAATCTTTAGAAACTTTATCCTTTTGAATATATTTACCAAATAAGTGACTGGTTGCTGCTCTTGTGCATTGCAGGTGTCCTGTGGTTATCAGTGGTGTCCGAGGTGTTATACATCATGCTGTTAGTCGTTGGATTCAGCCTTATGTGCCTCGAGCTCTTTCATTCAAGCAGTGTGATAGATGGGCTCAAGTTAAATGCCTTTGCTGCTGTCTTCACTGTGCTTTCAGGTATGAACCTTCCCTTTCCCTTTTGCCTGAGGAGCCACGACAAAACAAAATTCTAAAACTTTGAAACAATAAAAGACAGGGGCTACAAGACTCTCTTATACCCATTTAGCTATCTCATTTGTCACTGTAATTTTTTGTTCCTTTGGAACAAGGACCACATGATAAATTTGCCTCTTGCCAGGGAGAAGGGAAAATACATATTCCTGATTTCATAACGGCAATGCAGTAATTAGCCTTCCCCCAACCCACGCAGCCATTACCAAAGCCATAGACTGAGCCTCCATTTTCAGCATCATCATCACACTGATTATCCAATAGAAAATGAAAAACATATAGTGTTGAAAATTCTTTTTTCCATGCTAATCCTGGAAGTAGGTGAAGGCTTGATGCTTCAAACCAAAGACAGAAGCCCATCTTGTTCATTAGCAAAATTGAGGATGAAAAGGGTTCTAGTAATTGCACCTAGGAGCAACCCCAAGAGTAATTTGGAGACATGTACATCTCTCAGAACAACTGTTTCAGGCTATTTCATGCTCAGTCTGTACTTGGAGCCCTTCAGCATATGAACTTGAGGAGTTCACTTCTCTAAAAGAAGTAATCAAATTTAACCATGTAATTAAGTGCCCCTTCACTTCTGTGCTGGCTAAAAACTTCACTTGCCAGGATTTATACAAGCAGCCAGCCACAGCTGGCTTTTGTGAGCACTCCTGCATGGACCTCTCTGGCAGAAGGAACTTCTGCAATAAAAGTGCATTTTATTCTGCTGTATTTCAAGCTGAAAGAGATTATAACAGGCAGTGTACATTCTGTGAAGGAGTTTGTATCTTCAGAGGTAGCTTCAAATTGTGAAACACAGTTAGTAGTATAAAACTTAGATCAGAAGTAGAGCCGAGAGGACAAAAAAAAAATCTGGTAAAAACTGCCAAAGCATATTTTACAGCTTTGGATGTAATTTGGATTTGTAAAAAAAAGTCAGTTCAATTTTCAAAATCAAACTATGTGGAATTCGTCAGAATTCAAGCAATTATTTCCATGCTGTTTCTCTTTCTCTTCACTGTTAAGTGCAGTTTTAAAGTTTTGTAAGAATTATGAAGTTTTCTTTCCTACACATTTTTCTATTTTTATTTTGTCCTTCCCTCTTTCTAAGTACAGTGCCGTGATGTTCCAAATATAAAGTTCAAAATTTTACAGGGAAAAAAGCTAGAAAAATAAGAAGAAGCAAGAAAAAAACCCCAAACCACTGCTAGCCATTATTTTCAGTGACAGAGATATCAGAGGAAAGAGGAAAAGCCTATTTATTTAAGCTTAGCATACTTATAATGACACAGCTAATAGAAATTAGGTAACAAAGTGGACTTTGCCTTGGAGCAACACACCTCTCATTAAATTCATTCTAGATTTCCCTCCTAAAAGTGCAATGGGATCTTCATATTCTCATAGCTCAACATCTAAAGGTTTGGAAAAATTATCCTAAGAGTGTGGCCACTTATTGCTGGTTCTTAACCTCTTGCAAGTCATTGAAAAAAACCCCACAACATCGTGATTTTGGTATCTCTCTTAACCTTATACAAATTTAAAAATTACATATGTCTCTAATGTAATATTTAAATAAAGCATTTTAATTAATGTGAAATATTCCATAAATAATACTTTTAGTAAAAGTAGCTGAAAATGCTTAAAAAATATATTATCTTTTCCAAATGTAATTCCCTAAGTTGTCCCATTACTGACACCTGGAAACAGCTCTGATCCTACAAGGCTGATGATCTCAAGGCAACTATAAATGGTCAGTGTTTCTGCACTCCCATCCACTCCAGTCACTCCAGTCCAGCCTGTTATCAGGAGTTTCCATCTGCAAGCATCTGTTGCCCTGAACCCCAGGCGGGTGGGCATACAGGCATTTTGTCCTCTTTGTCCAGCCTTAAGCAGCCAGTTGGAGGAAAAGATGATCTTGTAAATATAGCATTTATTGACTTATGCTACAGGCAGTTCGTTTTATCCAAAACGTGACCATTAAATGTACAACAAAAAGTACCATAGGAGATATCCCCATGAAGAACTTGGCAAGGCATATCTAAAATAGACGAAACTGATGGGTGACATCAGGAACAAACGAAACCAAAAGTGCCTGAAGGAGCACAATGAAGGAAAGCCTCATATTGTTCTGTTATAACTTATACATGGCATAATGCCACTGACAGCACAGCCAGGTACATGACTGCCCCAACCCTCCCCGCCATTAGGCAGATAAAGCAATAAATGCCGCCTTTTTCACTGTGGTCCCTGTGTTACAGCAGGACTTGCTGATGACGTCCTGCTCTCCTGTCTCTGAACTGTCATCCTGGCCTCCCACGCAGCGAAAGGGCTGAGCATTGCTGAAACCCCATTAAGGTTTTGCGCGACAGAACAGAGCAGATCAGCCTTGCTGATGCTAGTCCTGGCCGTGTCAAACCTCCCGATGGCTCTGAGTGACTGTGACATGTCTCAGGGCAGTCTGTAATATTTTATCAAGGTTGAAAAATTACTGACAGTAGGTATAGGAACAACAAACCCCAAACTTTAAGTTTCTTTCCATAACTGTCAGCTGGAGAAAAATCCACCAATTTGAAAAGTACAGCAAGCTCCCAGTGAATTCTGGAAATTAAATACAGGCAGAAACAAGCAAGGTGTGTACCAGTTTGCTGGGCTCCCATTAGGCCACCCACCTTGCTGAAATATCATTCCTTCCGATGTGAATTGCTCTTTCCACCTCCTAACTTTGCAGTGTGTCACACCGACATGAAGCAGCTGAGCAAATCACCACAGCTTCTTGTAATAAAATGTCTTCTTTCAGCCTCTGCAGTTGTTTGTATTAAATATGACATTTGTCTTGCTGAAGGTCCTGCTTAACATACCCACAACACAAACATGACATTCCCCAACTTCCCTCCCCCAGAATTGCCCTGAATCATCCACATGTCTGGTGAGACTAATGAAGTGCTTTAGACTCTGAAAGTAAGCAGGAAAAAAGAGGCAAAATTTGAGTCTGGGGAGGGAAAATCAGGATCTTTCACATGGAGGAAGGGCAACTGTGGAAAAAAGTAGATAGGCAGCAATAACAATAAATGGCAATTTCGGTTGAGGTGCAAAGTGTAATGTATGGGACCGCATTGTACCCCACCGTGGCAGAACATCAGTATTTCTGAGGGCCTTGAACTGTTGTTGTGGCACAAAGGGCTTTTTGACATCTGTACGTCCAAGGTCTATTTGGGATATGATGATCCCGCCCCACTCTTTACCTAACTGCCTGAACCCACGCTTTTCATCAGCTCAGCTGGGAGCATCATTCTGCACTGCCTCAGTACTAAAGCAGACACATCCCAAATTACTGTACTAAAAATTCTCCAAGCATCAGAGCTGCTCCTGGCCACCGCTTCTTGAAAAGTGAGGTTTGGTTTTCCTCAGAGAGTTGTTTAAACATAAAGTTCAGGCAGTTTTTTCTGCTTAAGCTGAAGAACCATGCTGGCCAGCTAAGTGGCAGAGCAAACTCAGACTAGCCTGTCATTCAAGCAACCGGTTCAACATCGCGGTGAGTAGAGTGTTTAATACATTGTCTAATCTTCACCCAGTTGTAGTTATCTCAGCAAAATACAATGGTGTCACAAAAGCAACCATCATCAATATTGTACCATCAAAAGTATTCCTATGGTATCCTCTCACCACACATCATCAGGAATACTGAGTTCGCTTAACTTCCTTGTGTAGCTTCCAAATGTTTTATAAGTGTTCAAATTTATAAATCTTAGCAACTGTTCAGATAAAATATCATTGTTTGACGTTAACACATTCAATTGTGCATTGCCTACAGAAGCCTCTCTCCTTATTCTCTTACCTGAGGCCTGTCTGCGATGGGCTAAGTGAGAGAACTTGTGGGTGGCATACCCCTGTTTCGCAGCAGCAAGGTTGGTGGAGATGCTAATTGTGCAACATTTTCTCAACGATTTTCTTTCTTTAACTCTTCTCTTAATTGAGAATTCAGTATGATGTAAAATAATGAGCTCTCAGTCACACCTTTCCTCTGCCCATGCAGCTCCCTCCTCCACAGTAGAATAGAAGGCATAAAAGTACAACAAAGACTTTTTTGGAGCTTTCAAAGCACTTCCAGCAGTAGTTATCTCAAGAATTATAAAAAACATTAGCACAAAAATTCCTATTATAATCCCTGCTTCTCAGGTCTCTTGGGGATGGTGGCACACATGATGTATACCCAAGTTTTCCAAGTGACAGTCAGCCTTGGGCCAGAGGACTGGCGACCACATTCGTGGGACTATGGATGGTCCTTCTGGTAAGTGTCACCACCAGTTAATATCTTCTCTTTTTTGAGTTGTTCCATCAGTCTGTTGGGAGATTGTACATATCATCTCAAATTTCCAGGGACACGTATGTGAATTTCCAGCTGCCAAAATGCTAGGAGCAAGAAACCACCACGGCCGTACAAGTGGTGAGGTGTAGAGGACAGTTATCAGTGAGTGCGCAGCAGCAGCTGTGCATATCAGCAGGTACACAGCATTTGTAAATAAACAGCAGCCACAATTACCAACACAGATTGAGTACTCTCATTAAAGTTCAATTTAGGTACATAATTGCCATGGCATTTCAGAGACTTTTAGCTTTTTCTTTTTTTTTTTTTTTTTTGTTTTTAATTAATGTCTCAGTTGAACCTTACAGTGCAACTTTTAACACAACCGCAGAGGAAGGCGTAGTGCTCCTGGCACCATGATACTTCTCTGTGGATCATGGGGAGAAGGCTTGAGAAAATGGACAAGATATTTTGGAGACTGATTTTTTTTTTATTTTTTTTTACCTTTCCCATTTATCTTCTAAAAATCACATAAAAATAATTTGGCCAAGATGTGTCAACTGTGTTATATTGCCTGCAAGTTTCTAAGAAGCTTAACAAGAATAGGAGACTATGGAGAATAGAAGTACCTGCAAACAACATTCACATCCCTCTAGAGGCATCAGCCTCTTTGGATGGCTAGGGAAAATACTTTCTTTTTGTCATTTCTAAATATAGTATACCATTTTCATTCCGCCTCAAAGCAGAGACAACAGCCTTTGCTACCACCAATAAATAAATACAAATACTTCTTATGCACAACATTGTGGGGAATTATTAGTCTTTCCTTCTCCCCTCACTACTCTGTGTTTCATGGGAGCAGTTACTAACATTTTAGTAACATGTTACAAAATATAAATCGCATTATGTTTAAAATAGAGCTTATTTTGTGTGTCAATAATGAATATTTATTTCATATGCTGATGAACTTATAAATACACTGCATTTGTATATTTATAATATTCATATAAATATTTATAACAATTCTGTCATACTAATTGCATAATTATCAATATATTTAAATAATAAGGTGTATTCTCTATCAATTTCTCTTCAGTAATCTATTTTATAATTTACTGCAATACTCAAAATTCAGAATGTTGTTAAATGTCTAGCATGATAAAGCACTTGTTAGATTATTGACCTTGTGCAAGATCAGAAACCCCACGTCTCAGAAGGGGCATCAGATGCTCGCGGGTGCCGCAGGGCATTACGAGCCCTCCCTGGGCCCGTTCACCCCACCCACGCTCCGAGCAAGCTGTCCAGAGCCCCCATCCCGTCACGCACCAGCACCTTGCGGTGCTGTCGTCTGCTGTCCCAGCCACGGCAGACGTCGCATCCCCTGCCTGCAGTTCTCCCCAGGCAGCCAGAGCCAGGGCACAGCGGGCTTTGGGTCAAAGACCAGGACTGACCGTGGGTTAGGCATCACCGTGGAGGTCACTGGAGGTAGATACCTGCAAGCAGGCAAATACACGGGAGCAACCTCAGCTCTTCCCCTATTCCTGAAGTGGGACCTTGGCTTCGCTCTGTACGGTGACTGTTGGCCCACCCTAGTTAAAGCTGAGTTCTGCTCAAGCTATTGCTGTCACAAAGCAGCTTCTCAGATTTGGTGATCACCCTCCCTCTCCTAATAACTTCCAAGGCAACATACTTGCCTATGCAGGACGCTGGGCAAGGTGCAAACATCAGCTCAGTCACAGCTCCCCTGGGACGGACATGAACAGCAGCAGCATTTTTAGCCTGCAGTGGTGCTCAGCAGCTTGAGGAAAGCCATGGGGTTCCTCGTGCCATGCCAGTGACTGGTGGCAGAGCTGGTAAAGGAGGGTCTGAAAGTCAAACACTTCCTTCCAGCTAACGCTGAACCACCACTGCTGTACAGACTAGAGAGCTACAACCTCCCCTGGCATCGCCCAGACCTGAACACCTTCTTTAAGAAGGGTTAAAAACAAGTTCCCACCCAGCCTGGTGGAGTTTGGAAACTCTGCACATGTAGGCATTTCTTTCTGCTCCACCTAGGTTCCAGTGATGGCCTGAAGCATGAGCTTTAAATACCCCTGAACTGGTAGCGCAAACATCAGCATCAATTACAGCCTTCTGTAAAAAGTACCACTGCAGCATCCTACTCGACCACCTGTCAGAGCACGGAGAATTGTAACACTACCAAAAAGTGGGGCCAGGGACCATTCTCCCCATGGCCAAGACCCTAAGGGCATGACTGGAGATCTAGACTGCCATTCGTTTCCCAAGTGGCAATCGGAAAACTACTTTTTCTGTGACTCTATTTGCCCTCTGTCGAAAGGGAATGATAAAAATACCTCTCCTCAAAATGAGGAACGGCTGCTTGTGACCTGCTTAGATGTCCCAGGGTTGAAAACGCAGCGCTTGCTCCCTGTCACCTCACCCCATTCCCAAGTCATTGGCAAAGCCTGGAGGTTGGTCTGTGCTCTGGCACAAGCCAGGAGTGGGCCAGGGGATTCTCCAGGCAGGGGGTTTCAGTGGCTCTGAGCATCAGTGGATGTTCAAGCTCGACCCCTTTAGAAAGAAAACAAATACAAAAATCTGAGCTGTTTGAGCCACAGAGGAACTTCAGGGCACAGTCCTGAGCTTAGGTACCAGAGGCACCATAAGTACAGTCCCACCACATCTGGGGCACAGCTGGCAAGGAGGGGCATTGCTGTTAAAGAGGTCTTCACCAACAGTAGGATGTAGCTCTTATAGGTAGGAGAACCACTCTTTACACTTAAAAATAAATAACATTTAACCAAGGTCCATAAAAACTAAAACATATCAATCATAACTGTCTCATTATTATGATTCACTGAATACCAGACCTGAAGTCACATTGAGAGTCTTCATTCTGTATTTCCTTCTCTAAGCCTTTCAGCATTTCTGAGTTAATGATTAGAAATTATCAGAAATTTTCCAGAGAAATTTTTCTCCGTATGTCATTCCCCAGGCATCGACCAGGCACAGTGAAGCATGTGGTTTCAGTTGGCTTCTTCCTTGATATTTTTTAGGAGCCCAGCTGGAAATGTTTGGAGCTGTTGGAGCTTTTCCACACAGTCCGTGTAGGAGGAGGACACTTGCCAGGCTTCCCTGTGCCCGGACACTCACACATAGCACAAGTTTCTTTTCCACTTCTCCACCCAACCAGGGGAAACCTAAGGGAACTTCATCACCCCAAGGTTCACGACATTTCCTTCTCATTTGATTGCATCTGACAAATGGGTTCAAAAATGACTAGGAAAGGGCTGCCTCCACACTTCATTGCCATGGGAGTCCCTAAAGGACTTGTTCTGCTCTGAATTTTGAAATCATTGAAATGAGCCATTTCTGTTTACTTGAACCATTTTTTTTTTCAGATTTTACGGTTCATAAATATGTGTTCTTTTTCAAGTTTTGTCTAATCTGAAATGAGAAACTGTTTCTTTGTCTGCAGATCCTTTGCAGAATGGGAAAATAGCTCATGCTGAAGGCTCTGTTGCTAATGTGTATTTATAAGCTAATGCTACTGTGGCTGTATTCCTTCTGTTCTGCATAATTTATATCAACGTTCAATTTGGCTATAGAAAAGGTGAAAGCAAGGAACAGGTAAAGTGTGTAGCTGACACAGATGATTAAGTTAATCCAAGTTAGTTAGGAAGCCACTGCAAACTGTATGTAGCTGGAGCTGGTGGGCTGAATGTGAAGTCAAGGGGAGCCTGAGCGCAGCCAAGCTCTGCAAACAAAAGGAGGAATTCAGTGCCTTTTTTTGTAGCCCCATTTCATGCTCAAAAAGCACCTAAACTCCTTGGGGCCATGAGTTCCCCCAGCCACATCTGAACTTGAGATCAGTGAGGTAAAGGCTGGAGGAGAGATGTGCAGGGAGGGCAGAAGGCACCCCGGGGGGAAACCCAGTCCACAAGCAGGGAGCAGAGCAGCTCCCAGCTGAACGCTCCTTGCCAGGAGACCCAGGACAGCACTTGCTGCTGTTCCAGCCTGGCATTGGGGCAGTCACTTTTTTTCTTCCGCTTCCCTTCTCCATCTCCCCATGCTCCTGGTTGGTACTTGCAGGTGTCTGGCCACTGGCTGACCAGGATTGACTAGCACTGCCTGCACCCGTGGGGCACTGCCCTCAGGTTGGATCTGTCCACAAAAATGGAAGTGCTGTCTTCTATTCTGCTCAGGGTTTCAGATACCCGACATAAGCCAGGAATGCTAGAAATGTCCATGAACCAGGAAAGAAGGAAATACAGTAGTCTGATGAAGGCATAAAAAGCGGAATAGAAACCACCCCTGCAATAGTGCTGTGCAGAGTCAGTCTCCCATGGATGCTGGAGAATTTCTGCTGGTCCAAAAGACGTGCTCTCTGGGGCTTTGCTCCTTCCAGGAGTTCATCACAGCTCTATAGGTTTTAGCACATGTCTGCAAGGCTCTGGAACTTTTGAAAGGGAAACCCAGAGGCGATCGACTCTTCTGTCAGAGTGCACCGCGTGTTCACGTTAGCACTCTGCTGCACAGCTCTCCATGGGGTGAAAGTTGTGCCCAGCCCCTAGCCCAGCGCCCTGCCTGCATGCCTGAGCACGTGCCGCAGGTCATTTGAGGTAAGATGAGGAGAACGGGTTTGTCACCACTGACTTACCTGCCTAGTCGCATCCTGTGTATGTGTGTCTCTTGGCGTCAGAAGTATAACATGAGCTGCTGTTTTAACCCAGCTCTGTCTGCTGGTTTCTCTCTCCACAGTCTGGCATGGGGCTCTTTCACCTGCTGCATGGCGGCCTCCGTTACTACCTTGAACTCTTACACTAAGACTGTCATTGAGTTCAGACACAAGCGCAAAATCTTTGAGCAGGGCTTTCGAGAAGAGCAGAACTTCCTAGACCAGGAAGCCATCAAGTACTTCAGAGAAAGGTCAGTGCAGTCAGTCGCTCGATCAGTGGAGGTTTTCATGGACTCTGCTAGTCTCAGAAAATCCAGGCTCTCACCCATTTCAGCACATGTGGGTGAAGTCTCGGAGATACTTGGAGAAGATGTGTGTTAAAGATAAACACAAAAGGCCCTCCTTGATTTGTTTTTTTCTTAAATTTTGTGATGTCCCAGTGCCTGCCTTTTCTTAAATACTCATTGAAACATGAGACTGACAAGTCCTTACAGTATGCATCTGATTCACTGGAATTCATAAGAAGCTATCCTGCCAATGCAAGCCGATTTTCCCTCTCTGGAAAGGTAAAATTGTGGGGATATAACAAATGTTACAGACATCCTTTCTCAGCACATGTAATAGGCAACTCCCAATAACCCTAACAGCTGCTGAGACATTTTCCAACACTTTGGAGTTGCCATCTTCCATAGCCACATGCCAACAACCCATTTTAGGCCTCTCCATACAACCCATCCTCCTGAGCTCATCCACACAAATACAGTGCCTACATCATATCGCACTGCGGAAACATCCACACAGAGCCACCCACGCTGCTACCAGGGTCTTAGGTGGGCTCAAAGTCCTCTCTGAGTCCTGAAGGCCCAGGGATGCTCCTTCACTCTGCCCATCACCCCACCCTGCCCACCCGCCGCACTGCTGACCCCAGGCACTCTTAGCTGGCCCATGCTGGGTACTTGCTGCCCTCATTCTTTTGTAAGAAGGTTGAGGCTTTGCTTAAAATTGCAGAATGTGAAGAACACACAAATATTGACCTCAGACAGCAGGGAAGTTGGGATGGACTCCATAGGGGTACCTTTGCGGAATGAGGAGCTGAGAAGTACAGAGAATCCTCACTGAAAGCCTATTGTTAGAAGTAATGTAAAGATATTTTGGGGACAAAAAAACGTAAGAAGGATTCATTCTTGTTCTTCTGACCAATGTGGCAGTTTCTCAGTGTGGAAGAGAGGGGTTGGGAAACTCTGAGGAGACAGAAGATTTGAAATAATCAGACATTTCAATAGCAAAGTGAGGAGGTCTCCTGAGCGGGAAGAACTAGAGAACTTCCATGCTTTAATTAACCATCCTTTGGTTACCCAGCCTTCACTAATTGTCTCTGTTGTTGCAGTTAGTCCTCGGCAACTTCCAAATTTTCACTCTATCTTTCAGACACTCTGGAAGGATGAGAGAAATTATTCAAACAGCTATGATTTTCCCAATTTTGCATTTAGAGTTGACAGTGAATTTTTAAAAAATCTACGTCTGAGAAAAAAAACCCCAAACACAGTGAAGAGGAAGCGGTCAGCATGTGCCTCAGGAGAAATCAACACTCAGTGAGGGAAAACAATCAGCCGAGGGAAAGGAGTCAGCTGAATTATTGAAGTGAGAACTGCAGATGAAAGACCAGCAGAATTGTAAGCAACAAGATGTTGAGTTACATTGAGAAACGCTAAGGAAACTTGATAAAGTGACACTACTTCTCTTTCTGGAACAGTAAATAGCAAAAAATGTTAATGGCATAGAGGATGGTAACCTTCTTTATCTCACATAGGTATCGTGTGGTTTGACTTTGATTCCTCTTGCACTCATCATAGTTCACAGTCCCCCCCTGGCCTCCCTCATATTTACATACATGTAAATCAATACCACGTAACACTTTACAACCAAATCCATGTTGGACTAGTTGTAATCTGAGAGACCTTCACCCCAACACACTAGATAAACAGGTGAAGGGTCCCAAAGAAGGACAACAAGCCAAATGCAGCATCGAGGCTTTTTCAGCTCTTGTGGAAGGAAGGTTTGAACTTTCCTACCAACTAGCAGGGTATTGAACACGCATACGCCCAAGGCAAGAGACAATTCCCACCTTGGCCAGTACACACCAATGTGTTTTTAACTCTCGTTTTATACGTATCATTCAAAACCACCTCCATACCAGGCAACATGCATACAGAACAGCCTGTTCCTTGTGATTGCTCTCTCTACTGGTCAGAGCCACCCTGACCAGTATACACAAACAACGCTTTGTCGCCGCCACTTGCTGTATGCTAGGACTGTGTGTTTTGTTCTGTCCTTCCAGCTTCCTTGCTCATTTTGAATTTGGGTGAACAATTTACTTGTTGGTCACATCCTCCAAGCCTTTCCACACACACTTGGCAAACACAGCTCAAGCATGTGGTGTTCCCAAACTTCATGATTATGACTTTCTTTTTTTATATCACATTATTTTAATTGTTGTATCTGAATACATAATAAGAAGCCCAGAGACAGTGTTACCATGGGATCATTCCAGAGATTTAAAGCTGTGCAGCATTAAATCCTTTTTTTTTTTTTTAAGTTAGCATATGCATGATCAGCCTCACTACTGTGACCTGGGAATACTCGGAGACTGCAGGGGGTCTGGGGATCATCAATTAGCACCACCGAGTTGCTCCATGCTGTGGGTCCCAGCAGTCCCGGCAAGCACACAACTTCCCCTAGCTCCCATCTCCCTTTGCACAAATAGAAATAACTTAAATTCTCTTTTCTTCCTGTGCATATACCCAGGGGTACTTCACATTCCCTCCTACTCCTACACCTCCATGTTCCTTTTCATATCTCATAAATAAAACCCTCCAGCCTTTCTTGCTTCCAGTTCCTTTGTACGTATCGCTACCCTCCTTGCATGTTCCTTTGCCTCAGTGACACATCCAGCGCCCGCCGTACGCACACATCTAGCCTCTCTGTTGAATAGACTGTGCAATAGGCAGTTTTCTAAGAGCAATATATTTCTAGTGAAAGTTAAAGCTTTATCATTATTTCCAACAGCTGCAGTTTATCTTCTGGGAGGCAGGGGAGAAAAGCGCTAGCTCCATTTTGCCTGAAAAAAAGTTTTTTGTTGGAATATTCTTCTACAGGCCCCTGTTCCCAGAGAAGAAATCTGCTTTATGAAAAACACTGACAGTAAAATACTGCTAATCTTGCAAGAACTTTGTCAAACATAACATCATTTTCTTTCAGTTAATTTTAATTGCATGTAACTGCATATAACAAGAGAAGCTTTACCACAGACATATTAGATGAAAGAGCTGAAACGCTCTGTTGAGAGCTCCCAATTCAACAAGTGCGCACCGAGGTCACCACCCAGTGCAGGAGATGTAGGGGATGAGCCACATCAATGCATGGCTTGGTGACCTGACCCCCTCCTTCTCCATCAGCTCACCCCATCCCCTCCCCTAGCACGTCAGCCTTGCACAATCTGCATTACTGCTGCTTCTTAACTTCCGTCTCTGCATCCTAAGAGCTGCCTCAGCTGTGAAGAACATAGGAAAGACCTTTAAAATCACATGAATACATATGTACACCCCAAATGGTGCTCCACAGCCTGGTTTGACTCCACCTTAAACATTGCATATAGTTATCCAGCCCTAAGTCCACACATAAGCACAACTGCGAACAGAGACAGCTTACATAGAGACAGCCAAATTCTCTGGCTACCTGCAACCGCAAAGACGCAGGCTTTGTCGCTCAACAGCTAAGCATCTTAGTGTTTCTATCACTGGGAAAACATTTAAACAGCTACTGAAAATCCAAAGATTCATGGTGTTATATTCAACAATTTTTTCCTTCCCAGGCTTGGGATACTTTGAAAAATCCAGACAAAATAGACCATGTAGTTCACACCGTAAAATCAAAAGATATTATAGCTCTTCAGATAGAAAAGATATGATAGCCCTCAGAGTAACTCTAAGCAGAACAGGTAAATGATCCGGGCTTGGAGGTATTATACATGTATAAGTGTTCTATAAAATTATCAGCAGAATTATCTGCAACATGTCAGCTTTCGGTCTTTGTCCTGTTATTTGTTGTCCTTTAGTTTTCCTTTTAACTGAATATTTGCCTATAACTTTTGCTCATCTTTTTCAATTTTTTAGTTTATTAGGTGTCAATTCGTAATAGGTGTCTCTCTTCCTTCCCTCTCAATGTCTCTTTCTCCTCTGTTTCATATGAATACTCTTGCCCCATATGATCTTGAGCGTGGTCCACTGTCTAGAGTTCACCCCAGCTAGCAGAGGAGGAACCCTCCACATACCTTCCTGCTTCCTTTGCTCTGAGGATCATTCCAGATAAGTCAAAGGGACAGGGATTCTTTGTTCTCTCCCATATGGTCTGGTAAGCTGTATGTGACAGTCAGCTGAAGGAATGTCAATGTGCCAGGACCTTCTCCTCTTCCACTGCCCAGCTGTTTGACTTCTGTAATGCCCTGCAGCACACAGATAGTGGTTCCAGGGCCGCTGTCCCTTTGTCACTGCCTGCTGCCACAGAGGTGTAGCTGCCCCACAGTGGGGTCATGCCATGACACCCCACACTTGCCTCCCTGCCCTGCACAAGTGTACCTGTAAGGCCCACAAGCAGGGGACTGGGGTAACCCCTCTGGTGCAGCACCAACTTCAGTGCACCCAGACTATCACATCAACTTTTTTACTGTAACAGCTAATAAATGTACAACCATCTAGTCTGGGGCTTCTAAAAAGGCAGTGAGAGGAAGGCAGGATAGAAATCAGTAGTTTTAGTAGCAGTTTTAGCAGCTTTGCTCATATGGCTGTGTAATAATTAGGAGATATTCACAAGAGTTGCGCCCATTTAGACCAACGGGCTACACTGACACTATTGTCACATCCATTCAGGCAAGAGACGGTGCAGCTAGGTCATTCACATCGAATGACTTTCCCAAGTTTGTCCCCGTTTTTTCGCTTTCCTTTTTTTTATGTATTAAAAAAATCCCCTTTCAGCCACTCCCCACCACCTTTCCCTGCTCCCAGAACTCTGGTGAGCTCTGCTTTCAGGTAAAGAACAAAAACTTTCCTCTCTGCTTCTTTGGTATGCTGGGGGAAAGGCAGAAAGTGCTAGTGGGGCAGGTGGAGGCCCTGGGGCGACAGTCGCAGCTGCTGGAACAAGGATGGTTGTAGCTACGGGGAGAAAGACTTGGGGCAAGGGAACGTAGAGGCTTGGGGTAAGAGTACGTGAGGTTTGAAGCCTGGGGTCAGGGACAGGTGAGCTCCTCGTGGACAGCTAGTCACTGCCTTGAGCAAGGGATAAAATGTTAGTGAAGCGATCCGAGAAAATTTGAATTACCCATTGCTCTCTTTTACTGTTGACAAGAGGAGAAAGAGTAGCAGCTTTTGGAAATGCATCCATGCCTGGTCAGGGTGCCTGAGGCCAGGGGTGTTGAGTCCTATTGAAACTGAAGCCACCGCAGACGGGGGTAAGGAGGTTAGCCCACACCGGCACTGGTGGGAACGAGGTCCTAGAGATCAGCATAGCCCTGTCTCCAGTCTGATAGACAGCCTTTTGCTCCCTGTGAAGCAGAGCTCACTTATTAGGTGCTGTTAAACCAACGTACAAATTTAGCAAGTAAATCTGGAAGATTCAGCCTTCCACAGCTCGCTCATCCATCGCACAGCGTTTGCCAACTTGCAGCTGTCCATCAGCATCCATTGTGGCCTTGCAGCTGATTTCACACTTTTCTTGCTGACTGAGCCCTTACTCTGAGCTACAAAACCAACCCAACATCAGGCAGATGCTCCTGGTGAAATTCTAGAGCGAACTGAGTTCAAACCGCCATTGATACCAGTGCAGACAAAATGTCTCTGCAGGGATAGAAAAAGTAGTTTGGAAGTGCTAGGAGCCGTTTGAAACAGACGGCAGGACCCAAGCTATTGCAGAGCTAATAAATCAGGACTATTCCCAACACTACGAGAATCAAAACTTTTCAAGTCATCATTCACATACGCTACTTTTTCCTTTTTTGTACATTTCTCTAGCGTATCTTACTCACAGCTTGCTTTCTCTGACTCCATTGTACTCATACAAGATGTTGTGCAGATCATATGAATGCTTTCCAAAGACATGCCAACCTTTTGCTCTGATTTCCTCCTTGGTCATCTAGATATCCGAACAGGTTTTGAGCTACTGACCTACCGTACCTCCCATTTACAGAGTCAGTATCTTTTCATGTGGCCATCAATCAGAATTTCCAATCTGACTATTCACCTTTTATTAGCACACAGGGATGAGTGTAACGTTCTGCCTTGGATTTATTCTGTACTTTATTCTGCAACACAGGAGGGTTTATCCGCAGAGCTGTTCCTTCTGGAAAATTACACGGACTGGCACTTACATGGTGTAGCACTAGCAACATACCCACTTCCAACACACATGTACTGTACAATGCTGTTAGTCCCCGACGCTTAGATTCATCCTGAAGAGTGAAAGAGTGGGAGAGACGCAGCCCTGAGCCCCTCATTTCTATTCCCCATGGCCTCTTTACATGAGCTTTCCCCCGAGAGGGGCAAAGCCAATGGAACCGAGTCCTTCCTGAGACCATTACGATCTCCATAATGGGCCTGGCTGGCTATAGATGGAGGAGCCCAGGTATGTTGTACTCTTATTGGTTTTGACCCTTCCATTTCTGTACATTTGGGAGCAGCCTTTGTTTCTGTTAAAGGTGCTACTTCTATATTCTCTTTTCCAGGACTGAGGAGGAGAGGGCTGAGGCTGGGGACCTGAGGTTACAGTGCCTCCATAGCTGCTCCCCAAATAGTAAGTGACCATGGCTCGAATATGTCCGATACACAATGGCTCGTACCGGCCCCACGCTGGCTCCTTGGGGTTAAGAATAAGGTTTGGAGTAGGAAGCTATGGAAATAGAGGTTTGTAACGTTCACAGACAGCGTTGCCCAAATGATAATCCACTAGCATAGGAACAGTACAAAATTCTCCAGGATTCAATTTAGGATGTGCACATATCCTATAATTTTATGTTAGCTCAAGAAGCTGTGACTTCATAGTAGTTTAAAAATATGCTCTAATTTATACCTGTATAACTTTCATTATCACTACCTTTTTGCATCTATATTTATCACCAATTCATGATGATGCATGCTGTTGAATATAAAAATGATTGAAAGCAGCTTTGGTAGACAATAATGTTAGTATAATTAATGCCATTTCTTGCACTTACTCAGAAAATTGCTATGCTTTTATTCAGCGTTTGCAAAAATTCTTACTTTAAGCTATGGGAATTGGTGGTTCGATGTATGGAGCAATACTGGAGAATGGCTCCTGCCCTGCTTTGAATGCTACACTTTTCCTGTACTCTCCAGAAAAGACATGTGCAGTTTCATGTATCTATTTCCTTGCAAAGAAAGCAAGTGATTCTTCATTCAGCAG